ATCCCTGGGTCAGTAAGATCGCAGAGGAAGGCATGCCAACACACTCCAGTATTCTTGCCTGATGAGTCCCATGGACAGAGGAGTCTGGTGGGCTGCAGTCCATAGGGTCACAAGAGGTGGATATGACAAGCAACTGAGCACTCATGCACAAGCTCAACTGCAAGTGGTGGTTACTATACTTCTAGTGTTGGGAGTTCATGACATTTAGAACATAGCGAAAAAAGAAAGAATGAGAAGCAGGTGAGAAAATATGTCTATGTTAAAGAATTGCAGAAATAAAAGAAAACAGATTTAGAGAGAGCACGATAGAAGGAGAGAGGAGGCATAAAGTAAATTTCCAGCCTCGCAGCATCAAAATCTTCAAGGTGATAGGCAAATAAAGAGAGACTTAGGAGCAAAACATGCAATGTGTATTAGAAAATGGACTTGACTGTCTCCTGCGACACTTTTGACAAAAGGCCCAGGTGACAGCAGATTCACGCAAAGATAGGTCCAACATAAATCCTCCTAACTGGAGCACCTGTTCAGAAATTGTGTCAAAACAAAGTTGTCTGCAATGAGTTGGGAATCTTTTCGGGCTGCTTGGTGATTTTCTGGTTGTTGTGTAGTTGATGATCTCCCTTGGTTGTCCAGATTATATTTCTGGACAAGAACACTTGATACCAAATTGCACAGAAAATTTTCCCCCAGTGGTAAGACAGCTCTCATGGGTCCCATAAACAAGACTGGGATATGCATCACTTTCCAGGGTGTTGAATGTGTCTTTTTCTGAAAGGAATTATCTGACAGCCTCTATGACTTCTGGACACTACATAGTCCCCATGGTGGAGGGTTGGTCTGGCTCATGGACCAGGTGACATTGAATCTGCCAGATTTCAGAGGGCTGTGCAGTAGGTTCAGCCTGCGGTGCGAGCAGCCCTGCCTCCGGGCCAGTGCGGACACAGAGAGCTGATCAAAGACATCAGCCACCTGGACATAAGCGACACTCAGAGATCAGCCTGCTGAGCGACAGGAAACACATCAGGGAACCTAGTGGATGCTCCAGGGGGACATGGCAGCCCTTCCCTGGAGGGACTGTGGGGTGTGAGCTCCCTTAGTCAGAAGGAAGGAAGAGGCTGTGGGAAGCTGTCCTAGTGATGCCCTGACCTCTGTTTACAAAGAAGAGGACTCAGTGCCTGTGAGTCATGGTCTCTTTCTTGAGGCTCCAAGGCCAGTTCCACTAGAGCCCGTGCTGGTGTCAGCTCATCCTCTGGGCACTGCAGCTGCTCCTGCCACCATGAGAAGCTGAGTCTCTATGGTAAGTTTGTGTTTGGATCTTTATACACCATTCAGGGTCGAGTGAGTTTCCTGCTCAGAGAACAACATGCAGCATCTCCAGGCTCCTCACTGATGATGGTGGCAAGAAGTTAAGTGAATTGGTATCAAACTGTTCCTACTGTGATTATGTGTATAAATACCTGCTGAAGTCCAGCGGTTCTCTGCATGTGTTACAGATTCTGTATGTATACTGTTTCTTACAATTTCTATTATAATGAAGAATCCAGTTTTAATTGCCCTTGCTATGAAATCCATTATCTGTAAAGGAATGACCTCTAATAAGTTTTATCCTCTCAACCAGAAACAGTGTTATGTAGTACAGGTGGAATTTGAAATTATTTAATGAAATCCATGCCATGTCAGAGAATGTGACTAGCATACCTGTGATAAACTCACAAGTATTTTTAGAGCATTTCTAAAACTGGTATCTATTTGAAGTATTCACATTCTATACATCTATCACTAGAAACAGGAGTCAGATGCACTTTTAGGAAATGAACATTCATGGGAACACAAAGTATTTCTTTATTGCTTGAATTTTTTGTTTTTATGGCAATATGATACCAAGTTTCTAAGCTCCAAAAGTGATCCTGAGAAAAATGTGACATAAATCTCCCTGCTGCTGCTGCTGCTTAGTCACTTCAGGCGTGTCTGACTCTGCGACCCCATAGACGGCAGCCCACCAGGCTCCCCCGTCCCTGGGATTCTCCGGGCAAGAATACTGGAGTGGGTTGCCATTTCCTTCTCCAATGCATGAAAGTGAAAAGTGAAAGTGAAGTCGCTCAGTCATGTCCAACTCTTCACGACCCCATGGACTGTAGCCTACCAGGGTCCTCCGTCCATGGGGTTTTCCAGGCAAGAGTACTGGAGTGGGGTGCCATTTCCTTCTTCAAAATCTCCATGAATGTTGGACAATTTGGAATCTAGCCACTGAAAAAGTTACCAATAAAGAAAATAGAAAGTGGAAAATTCATGTTTGTATATTATCAGGGGAAAATGGAAAGCATAAGAATTACATGACTTGAAATAACAAAGTAAAAAACATTCCTTTCTTGTTGAGCCAATGTTTACCCAACATTTTGCTCTTATATTGTTTTCCAAAATTTCATGTGGACAGAAGCTCTGACTTGGGTCAAGTGCAGCAACCCAGCTGGAAACCGTAAATCCACCTGAGGTGTGAGGCCTCATAAGGTAACTTCCATGAGAGAGGAGAGTCCTGAAATCCGAGTCAGCATGCAGACTAGGGGTGCTGGGTCAGAAAATAGAAACCTCCTACTTATTCAGACTTTTTCTTTTTCTCTACTCTAGGCTGCTGTGTGCATCCTTAATACTTGTCTGAATGCTGGAAGTGGGTCTCCATCTCCTTGGCACCTGCCAGCTTTTGCACCCTTTGGACATTCCCTGTCACTGGTGGGAGCACCTCCCCAACCCAATCACATGGCGTCTGCTGGACCACCTTCAGGAGCAAGTACGTCTGGAGACTGTTCGGCCGAGTTCAGTTGACAGTGACTAGGTGACATGACCTTAGGTCTCTGCACAGGAGCATCACTGAGCCCTTGATGATGGAAGATCTCAAGCCCTGGCCACACACTCCTTTCCTGTGACATGTGCAGTGGCCCAGACACAACAGGGGCTTCCCAGGTGGCACTAGTGGTGAAGAACCCGCCTGCCAATGCAGGAGACATAAGAGACATGGTTTCGATCCCTGGGTTGGGAAGATCTCCTGGAGGAGGGCATGGCAAACCACTCCAGTATTTTTGCCTGGAGAATCCCATGGACAGAGGAGCCTGGAAGGCTACAGTCCACAGGGTCCCACAGAGTCAGACATGACTGAAGCGACTTAGCAACAGCATCCACAGCCCAGGAACCCAGGTGGATGGACCTTCCTCCTCGTGATTCCATGAAGAACAGACTGGGTTTTCTCTCTGGGTCCTTCTTATCAGTCCTCAACAGCACCACCATTTTCATTTTTTATTTTTCCCTTTTTTTTTTATTAGTTGGAGGCTAATTACTTTACAATATTGTAGTAGTTTTTGCCATACATTGACATGAATCAGCCATGGAGTTACATGTATTCCCCATCCCGGTCCCCGCTCCCACCTCCCTCTCCACCTGATTCCTCTGGGTCTTCCCAGTGCACCAGCCCCAAGCACTTGTCTCATGTATCCAACCTGGGCTGGTGATCTGTTTCACCCTTGATAATATACATGTTTCGATGCTGTTCTTTTGAAACATCCCACCCTCGCCTTCTCCCACAGAGTCCAAAGTCTGTTCTGTACATCTGTGTCTCTTTTTCTGTTTTGCATATAGGGTTATCATTACCATCTCTCTAAATTCCATATATATGTGTTCGTATGCTGTAACGTTCTTTATCTTTCTGGCTTACTTCACTCTGTATAATGGGCTCCAGTTTCATCCATCTCATTAGAACAGATTCTAATGAATTCTTTTTAATGGCTGAGTAATATTACATGGTGTATATGTACCACAGCTTCCTTATCCATTCGTCTGCTGATCGGCATCGAGGTTGCTTCCATGTCCTGGCTATTATAAACAGTGCTGTGATGAACATTGTGGTGCATGTGTCTCTTTCAGACCTGGTTTCCTCAGTGTGTATGCCCAGAAGTGGGATTGCTGGGTCATATGGCAATTCTATTTCCAGTTTTTTATTTTTTTATTTTTATTTTTTGATGCTACTGTTCTAAATTTTTAATGCTTGGAAATGCCACCATTTTAAAACTCTGGATAAAGAAATAGAATTGACACAGAGGAGCTACGGGCTACTCCTGACGTTTTGACTGGAAGTAAAGAAAAGTTCAAAGCTTAAAACCCTTTCTATTAAATAAACACCCAAGAGCTTCTTCCCTCTTACACCTAAAGTCACTTATTTTACCATCAATAAACCTTTGGAAGCAGCCAGGAAATGCATTACCCAGGGTGATGGAAAACATCCCTAGATAATATCTGAATGCCTTTAAACGATTCACTAAGTCTGACCATCCTAAATGTTATCAACTGCTTGGTTTCCCCAAAGACCTTCCCACCAAACAGAGCTTCAGTTCATCGTATGTCACTTTAGGAGAAGGTCATTCCATATTCGGATTTTTCAACTGTCGCACACTAAGAGCAGTTCTCTTTCTGTAATCTCAAATCTACTAAAATAGAAAGTAGACACCACAATTGCAAAATCTTTCATGCTTAAAGGCCAGTGTATTCAGTTCCTTTCCATGCAAATCTTAATGAGGTATCTTATATGCTTGCGATGTCTTTTCCAAATCAAGTGTGGGGCAACCTTTGAAGATCCACTTGGTGTTGTCATCTTGTCCTATGTTCTGGTAAGTATCTTACTCCAGAAAGGAATATACTTGCTGACCTACAGATTAGTCCCAGGGGAGTGTGCTAGATAAGCGCTAACGTCTATGGTCTCTTCCATTGCCATCAAGCTCACAGTGGGGCCGTCCCAGCTTGAATCACCAGATGCCTACAGAAGCCACTCAGATACGCCATGGCAGGGAGGAGGAAGAGGAGGGGTTTGCTGTCCTAGGGTGGAGGGAAGAGGCTGTTGGTTGGCAAAGCTAGGACTAATGGTGGTGAAGTCATCCCCTCTAGGATGCCATGCCCAGCAGAAAGCCTCCGAAAAAGCCACCAGTCACTAGAACGTTCTTCTTCACAAACGACACCACCTCCTCTGCTTTGCTCTTGACCTCTGTAGGTATCTGGTTGCTCTTGCGGATCTTCAGCTGATCTTTGGCCTTCTTCATGTCCTTCTCTACACGCTGCCAGTCCACTTTGATGTAGCCAGTATGGTTTGCAAGCTGAAGCAGAGAAAATCCACTTCCCACAGCCGTTGCAGCCAGTTTTCCAACCTTCTGGAATATGAAACGTGTGCACCTTGACTGGTGGCAGCCATCTCGGCGAGCTCCTCTGGCGATGACGCCCGCGGGGCTTTCTATTTTCAGTTTTTTAAGAAATCTGCACACTGTTCCCCATAGCTGCTGTACTAGTTTGCATTCCCACCAACAGTGTAAGAGGGTTCCCTTTTCCCCACACCCTCTCCAGCATATATTGCTTGTTGACTTTTGGATAGCAGCCATCCTGACTGGCATGTAATGGTACCTCATTGTGGTTTTGATTTCCATTTCTCTGATAATGAGTGATGTTGAGCATCTTTCCAGAAAATAAATGACCCAGTAAAAAAATGCACCAAAGAACTAAATAGACATTTCTCCACAGAAGACATACAGATGGCTAATATGACCCAGCAATCCCACTTCTGGGCATACACACCGAGGAAACCAGATCTGAAAGAGACATGTGCACCCCAATGTTCATCGCAGCACTGTTTATAATAGCCAGGACATGGAAGCAACCTAGATGCCCATCAGCAGACGAATGGATGAGGAAGCTGTGGTACATATACACCATGGAATATTACTCAGCCATTAAAAAGAATTCATTTGAATCAGTTCTAATGAGATGGATGAAACTGGAGCCCATTATACAGAGCGAAGTAAGCCAGAAAGATAAAGACCATTACAGTATACTAACACATATATATGGAATTTAGAAAGATGGTAACGATAACCCTATATGCAAAACAGAAAAAGAGACTCCGATGTATAGAACAGACTTGTGGACTCTGGGAGAAGGCAAGGGTGGGATGTTTCAAGAGAACAGCATCGAAACATGTATATTATCTAGGGTGAAACAGATCACCAGCCCACGTTGGGTGCATGAGACAAGTGCTCGGGCCTGGTGCACTGGGAAGACCCAGAGGGATCGGGTGGAGAGGGAGGTGGGAGGGGGGACCGGGATGGGGAATACATGTAAATCCATGGCTAATTCATTTCAATGTATGACAAAACCCACTGCAATGATGTAAAGTAATTAGCCTCCAACTAATAAAAATAAATGAAAATAATAATAATAATAAAATTAAAAAAAGAAGACATACAGATGGCTAACAAACACATGAAAATTTGTTTATTTTAAATGAAAGGATAATTGTTTACGATATTGTGTTGGTTTCTGGCCAGCATCAACATGAGGATTTCTTCTTAAATTTCTTATAGGAAACATCTGCTAGTGATGATTTGTCTTCATTTTTGCATATCAAACCTGTGTAAGGTACTCAATTGAAGATAAACTGAGACAAAAGTTGAGAACCTTAGGATTCTTTTTATTTCATCTTCAACAGCTTCAGAAATCTATAAAATTGTAATACAGATTTTTAGAAAAAACAATTAAGACTCACTGGAAAAAACAAGATTATTAAATCACTTAAACTGATTTTTGAAAGCAATCAAAATGATCTTTAATGATTTTCATCTCCAGTTACCCAAATTGTAAGTTCAGAAATAGGATTTCTGAATGAATGAATGAAGTGAAAGGATTGAATGAAATAGCTAGTGGTCATTTCTTTCCTTGAAGTAAGTGTACAGCTTCTGCATCAGTATGTGAAAGTGGTGATTTTCGGCTTTAGAGGAGCAGCAGGCTCACAGGAGTGAATTTCATATCTGCTTAGTTTCTTTGGCCAGGAACCATGGATCACCCAAAGTTAAATGCTCTTTGAAGTATCAAGAGCCTCAGCTTTCAGTGCTTCCAGAAATTTTCATGTACATTCTTCTAAAAAACCTATTAGGATGTGCAGAGAATAAGAACTAGAAATTTAAAAAAGTAATAATATAGTCGATTCGGAATTCCCTAGAACAGTCACAGGAATAAATTATAAACCTTAACAAAGATCTCTGGGCTATTACAGAGATAACTCATTACAAACTTCCTCAGACATACTCTCCTCATACTTCATATTATTTCTCTAGTAAATTGGGAACATCTTCAATCCAGAGATTGGCGCTCTCATATTCTGAAATTCTAGAAGCACTAGGCACAGTTTGAAACGAGTTATGAGAATTGGCTGATTCATATATTATCCCAAAAAATCTGATTGCACCAAAACGGTTTACTTAAACAAAATGAAGAAGAGAAATGGATTAATTCTGCGGAAAAAAATAAAGCAAATATTTGCAAGTCAATAACAATTTTGGTTACCCTACAGACAAGAGCAACCAACTGTTGTAGTTCGTGGCTTGCTGCAGAAGTTTCCAAATTCAGTAAAGTAATTTACCTTTGTTTCCAACTTTTAGCGTTGGTATTAATGATAGTTCAATCTACACTGAAAACATACAGGAAAAAAAGAAATAATGAAAAATCTTTTAACAAAATTTGTTTCAATGTTAACATTGGCAGAGAGAGACAGAGAGACAGAAAGAGAGGAGGGAGAGGAGGTGTAATTTGAATAATCACCCTTTTAGCATTTAATCTACAATGTGATAGGGGCTTCCCACGAGGCCCTGGTGGTAAAGAACCCGCTTGCCAATGCAGGAGATGTGACTTCAATCGCTGGGTGGGGAAGATACCCTGGAGGAAGTCAGGACAACCCACTCCAGTATTTTTACCTGGAGAATCCCATGGACAGAGGAGCCTAGTGGGCTACAGTCCGTAGAGTTGCAAAGAGTCGGGCACGACCGAAGCGATTTAGCACACACTACAACGTGATAGACAAATACAATAGTCTTTGGACCGGAACTAGCAACAGGAGAAAGATGTCTATTAAAATTTTGACTTGACTGCCCCCTAGTGTGCTTTGACATAATGACCAGGTGAAAGTATTAATAAGTAAAATATTAATATATATACAGAAACTATAATTTCAAAGGTCAAACCCTCCTAACTAGAACACAAGCCCCCAAATTGCCTCAGAATAAACAAAGTCATCTGAAAATGATCTGGGAACTCTTTCTGGGCTTCCTGGTAACATTCTGGTGGTGGTCTGGTGGCTGATTTCCTCTAGCTGGAGGTACATTCCAGACTGTATTTGGAAGCACCCTGTTCTACAGTTGGCATCAAATCATATGAAGTCTTTCCCCAAAATGATAAGAGAGCTCTCAGGTGGACTCCGTAAGCAAGATGGGGGTAGTATTTCCTTGTGAGTTAAATGTGTGACAAAGGAATTGCTTGTTAGCATCATTGACTACTAAAATCCACACATTCCACATCTATGAACACTGGTCTGACTCATGGGCCAGGGGACATGGAATCTGCTGAGTTTCAGAGGGGCCAGAAAAGCAAAGGGCTCTGCAGTAGGTTTAGCCTATGGTTCAAGCAGCCCTGCCTCCTGGGCCAGTGAGGACACAGAGAGCAGATCAGAGACAGCAGCCATCAGGACATAACTGACACTCAGGGAACACATGGGTGAACAGTAATCAAATATGGATTTCTTTCTAAACCAAAGCTAAGATAGGGCATACTGTGGGTCACAAGACAGTCAATAAAATTAAATGAATTCTAACCGTATAAAGTATATTCTACAAAAACAAGGAAGTAATATTCAAAGTCAGTAACAGAAAGCAAATAGAAAAATCTTCAAGTATTTGGAAAATAAATAAAAAACTGCTTTTTAAAAAAGCTAGAGTCTCATCCTTTGTCTGTTGCTTCGTTTGCTATTATTTTCTCCCAATCTGAGGGCTGTCTTTTCACCTTGCTTATAGTTTCCTTTGTTGTGCAAAAGCTTTTAAGTTTCATTAGGTCCCATTTGTTTATTTTTGCTTTTATTTCCAATATTCTGGGAGGTGGGTCATAGAGGATCCTGCTGTGATTTATGTCAGAGAGTGTTTTGCCTATGTTCTCCTCTAGGAGTTTTATAGTTTCTGGTCTTACATTTAGATCTTTAATCCATTTTGTGTTTATTTTTGTGTATGGTGTTAGAAAGTGTTCTAGTTTCATTCTTTTTCAAGTGGTTGACCAGTTTTCCCAGCAGCACTTGTTAAAGAGGTTGTCTTTTTTCCATTGTATATTCTTGCCTCCTTTGTGGAAGATAACGTGTCCATAGGTTCGTGGATTTATCTCTGGGCTTTCTATTCTGTTCCATTGATCTATATTTCCGTCTTTGTGCCAGTACCATAGTGTCTTGATGACTGTGGCTTTGTAGTATCGTCTGAAATCAGGCAAGTTGATCCCTCCAGTTCCATTCTTCTTTCTCAAGATTACTTTGGCTATTCGAGGTTTTTTGTATTTCCATACAAATTGTGAAATTATTTGTTCTAGTTCTGTGAAAAATACTGTTGGTAGCTTGATAGAGATTGCATTGAATCTATAGATTGCTTTGGCTAGTATAGCCATTTTGACAATATTGATTCTTCCAACCCATGAGAATTTTGGACTCTGTGGGAGAAGGCAAGGGTGGGATGTTTTGAGAGAACAGCATTGAAACATGTATATTATCTAGGGTGAAACAGATCACCAGCCCAGGCTGGATGCATGAGACAAGTGCTCGGGCCTGGTACACTGGGAAGACCCAGAAGAATCGGGTGGAGAGGGAAGTGGGAGGGGGTATCGGGATGGGGAATACATGTAAATTCATGGCTGATTCATGTCAATGGATGACAAAAACCACTACAATATTGTAAAGTGATTAGCCTCCATCTAAGAAAAATGAATAGAAAAAAAAAAGCTAGAGTCAAAGAAGAACCCAAAGAGAAAAGTAGAGCTCATTGTGAATTGAAAAAAAAAATATTGTGTATCAAAACTTGTGGGAGGAAAGAAAGCTGAATTCATAACAATAAACTTGTGTAGTAAAGATGAATTGCAATCAATCACCTTAGCTCCCACTCTGATGTACTAGTAAAATTTTTTAAAAGGTTACAGTAAAACACAACAGTCTTTCATGAAGAGGGACAGGGTCATGCAGACTGTTACACAGATACAGTGACACAGGTGCAGCTTGTAGCACTAGAATCATCTCAGGGTGGGAAAATGCATATTCTTAGCTTCAGATCTCCCGCCCATCTTTTTGTCTGGGTTGTTTGTTTGTTTTTTGATATTGAGCTGCATGAGCTCTCTGTATATTTTGCAGATTAATCCCTTGTCGATTGCTTCATTTGTAAATGTTTTCTCCCATTCTGAGGACAGCTTTTTGCTTTGTTTATGGTATCCTTTGCTGTGTAAAAGCTTTTTGCAAGTCAGACAGCAAAAGACAAATATCATATGATGTCGCTTACATGTAGAATCTTAAAAAATGATACAAATGAACCTCCAGAACAGAAATAGAGTCACAGACAGAGAAAACAAACTTATGATTACCAAGGGTAGAAGGAGTGGAAGGATAAACTGGGAGAGTGGGGTTGCCATATACACACTAATATATGTAAAGTGCATGTTCAGTCGCTTCACTTGTGTCTGACTCTTTGCAACCGTGTGGACTGTAGGCCTGCCAGGCTCCTCTGTCCATGGGGATTCTCCAGGCAAGATTACTGAAGTGGGTGGCCACACCCTCCTCCAGGGGATCTTCCCAACCCAGGGATAGAGCCCATTTATAAAGTCGATAATTATTAATAATAAGAACCCACTGTATAGCACAGGGAACTCTACTCAATACTCTATAATGACCTCTATGGGAAAAAAATCAAAAAGAGTAGATATATGTATACATATATGTAACTAATTCACTTTGCTGTATGGCAGAAACTAATAAAACATTGCACATCAACTATACTCCAATAAAAATTAAGTTAAAAAAGCGGCAAGAAGTGCACATTACTAGTTTTGCAAGAGAAAATTTTGACAGTGGATAAGCATTTTGAGTAATTACTCAGTGAATTCAGTGATGAGGAAAGTCAAAGAGGATTTTTAGACAATGGTATTATGGTCCCTTACATATGTGATCTTTCAGCTGCTCAAAACCACTGTAGTGCAGGCAACTTTTTGTTCTCCAGTTGATTAATGAGATGATCTGCTGGTAAAGTCATGAAGTGAGTGCCTTGAAGGGATTAAGTGGCAGTGGTGATGTCACAACCAGACTAGGGTGTCCTCCCAGCGACATGACTGAAATTCTGTGCAGCCATGAGGTCAGTAGGGAACCTTAGTAGGTGCTCCTGGGAGACGCGGCAGCCATTGCTTGGAGATAATACAGAGTGTGAGCATCCTTATGGGGACAAAGATGGAGCTCAGGGAGGCTGTTCTAGTGATGCCTTGACCCCTGTTTACACAGAAGAGGCGCTCAGGCATAGGCCCCCACGACTGTGGTGTCTTCCTCAGGCTCCACAGACATTTCCACCTGAGCCCAGCCTGGGGACAGATTGTCTTCTGGGCACCGCTGCTGCTCCTGCCACCCTGAGGGTTGAGCCTCTGGAAAGCTTATGTTCGGGGCCATTATGCTGTGCAGGGTCCAGTGAGTGGCTGCTCACAGAAGTATGTGCAGTGTCTCCAGTTTCCACATTGGTGATTGTAGTAAAACATCAAGAGAATTTTGGATGGATGTGTGTCTTCATTGTGAATATGTACAGAAATACAACTGAAATTTGCCATTTGTTTCTGTATGTGTTAGAAGCCTTGTATATGGATGATTCTGAGGGAATTTCTAGTTAAGTATGGGCTTCTCAGATGGTGCTAGTGGTAAAGAACCAGTCTGTCAATGCAGGAGATGCAGGAGGTGGGAGTTCGACCCCTGGGCCAGGAAGATCCTCTGGAGGAGGGCTTAGCAACCCACTCCAGCATTCTTGCTGGAGAATCCCGTGGCCATAGGAGCGTGGCAGGCTACAGTCAATAGAGCTGTACAAAGTCAGACACGACTGAAGCAACTTAGCATGCATACACACTAATTAAGGATACAATTTTAATTGCAATCGCTATGGAACCCATTATGCTGAAATAGAAAATCATGTCTAATATGTTTACTTCTTTAACCAGAAAGAGTATTATATTGTCCTAGCAATCTGGAATTATTTTACTTCTATCATAGCATGTCATGACATGTAACTCGCTAGCCAATTATTTATTCAGAGATATTTTTAGAACATTAAAGTATTCACTTTCTATACAACACTGGAAAAATTAGACATTAGATGACATAAAATTGCAAACGTTTAAGATCCTTTTCCAGTTTGACTAATGTTTACTGAAGTTCTATTTTCTAAAATATTATGTATTATTTTCCAAAATTGCCTATGGTTATTAAACTAGATGCATTTAATTGACAAATATAGACAAGGCAGGATGGAGGAGGCTGACCTTTCACTCAGCCCCCCTTTCACAGAACTGGCTGCTACGGGTCACAGAACCCCCTACAGCCTCTGCTGCTTCTGCCAGGACCACGCTGTGCCACTGATCTAGACTTAAAACATGGTACCTGTGGGGCAGACAAGAAACTCATGGTCCAGAGCCCTCACTGCAAACTCTTCCCCTGAGATTGCCACCATCTTCCTCTTACACAGACTCAGAGCATCTGCTGTCAGTTCCCCAGAGAAGCTGCACTTTGAGCAGCTGAGCCACCCAGGCAGGGAGGTTTGTGTTCAGGGCTGTATCACTGTGGGAGAATCTTCTGTACCTTGATAACAGTAATAGACTCCAGCATCCTCAGCCTGCACTCTGCTGATTGTCAGTGTGAAATCTGTCCCTGATCCACTTCCAGTGAACCTGTCTGGGACCCTAGAAAATGGTTGGAAACCTGATAGATCAGACCCTGTGGACCGTGGTTTATGTTGAATCCAATTCAAATAAGTTTTTCCATCACTATGTACCAGGCTCTGACTAGACTTGCAGGAGATGGAGGCCATCTCTCCAGGGATGACAGACAGGGAGAGTGGAGTCTGGGTCAGCACAACATCCCCACTGGATCCTAAAGGAATGAAAGAGAATTAGGAAGATACAAATATTAACAACCAGTTTTATTGTTTTCATTTTCTGATTTATTTTAGCTAAAATATTAATAATACTTTGTATTACTCATTATCTGTAATCATACCGCAAAATTGTACAATCACAATAATGAATTTGATATCTGTGAAGTGTAGAGAGAACTCTCAACACCCCCTTCATCATCCCCACTTCCCTTGTCACAGTTCTGACCTGAACACAGGACCTTCTTCCTTCTGGAACATTCCTCACTCTCATAGACCTAAGGTTCCCATGCCCATCTGCAGGACAAGGCACACACATCTAACAGAGAACACACGTGGAGAGCAGTGCTGCCCCCAGAGCTCACCCCCCATCCTCCTTCTCGACCCCTCTCCATCCTTACCTGGGACCCAGGGCAGGAGCAGCCCCAGGAGCTGAGCAGGGAACCACATGTTCAGCAGTGTGAACTGAGGAGTCCTGATTAGTCAGAGCAAAACCAAGAGCTGAGCTTTTATCTCAGACTTGGAAGGGAAGGTCCTCCCTGAGGAACAACATGCAAATCCCCTGGTGGGGGCAGAGGTGTGGACAGAGCCAGGGGGAGGTGGGACGGGTCAACTTTCAGCAAAGTGAAATAAAGGTCTTCTGTGTTGAGATGTAAACCAATGGCTGCAGTCTATACTGCTTGGAGCAGTGGGATGAAGAATCTCACTGTGAAAGTGCAGATTGTTTGCAAAAACGCAGTGCACATGGGCCAGGACTTTAAGAAAGCAATGGGGACCCTACTTTTGGACATGTATGTTCAGGGTTAGTATCTGGGAGGGAATGTCCATCTCACTCTGATTCTTCCCAGCTGATCTAGATAGGAGAACAACTTCTTCCCCACTAGTACTAACCATTAGAATTTCCTCCAAAGAATATCATGAAGTTGAGCTGCTTCAAGAACTGTTACATAATTGCAGTTCCCAAGTTACCTGTTGAAGAATGTTAGAATCAGCTGTTAGAATTGATCCTGGCAACAAGTGAATTAACTTTCAAAGAATACTTAAGTCAAAAAAAATTACCAAGGAGAAAAATAATATATATGTTGTTCAGAGAGTTAATAGCTCAGTTTAAGACAATAAGAATTTGATAAGACTTCTATGCCTAAATCAGTGATATGAAATAACTGAAACTCAGTTTTTTCAATCTGGTGCATGTTCTACCATAATTCTATCTGTGTCTGTCTTTGTCTCTCTGTCTCTGTCTGTCTGTCTCACTTTCTCTCTCTATATATATATAAAACAACTTAGTCAAAGGAGTTTTTTAAAAAAATATTCACTTGAGATGGTGGACAGTATGAAAAAAGTGTGACTTTGTGTTTTTTTTCTGAGTGATGCTTAGAAAAACTTTTCCTCTGCAGACTCAGGTAGAATCAGGTGCTATAGGATTTTCTGGTTCCCTCAGCTCTGTGTGAGGACCTAAGACTCTCAATACCTCTGTGTTGGAAGCTACAGCCATGAGTCTACATTTCCAAAGGAGATGCTGTTTGTGAGAATTCGTGAGGAGAGCAATGACTGGATCCTTTATTTGAATGTCTCAGGGTGGCCTGTGTCTATCACTGACACATTGCTTGGCTTTTACTTCTGAATGGTCCCCATGGAACAGGATTCTGGGCCACTAGTGCTCAGAGGACAGTCTGTCACAGCAGCTTCCTTAGGTAGACAAACAAGACTCGTTTGTGAGTCACTCAGTTCGCATTGTCCTGTGTCAGCCTGACGCAGGTCATGTTGAACTGAACAGTTCCAGAAAAATAGTGCCAATATCAAATTCTTTTTGTCCTGAAAACAGAATCTTGAAAATTGTCAAAGTAGACTTTGCTGTCTTTTTTAAATTGGGTAAACCCAATTTAACCTTGGGTTTAAAACCCAAGGCATGGAGGAGGAGCCAAGATGGCGGAGGAATAGGACGGGGAGACCTTTTTCTCTCCTACAAATTCATCAAAGGAATAACCTAACGCAGAGCAAACTTCACAAAACAACTTCTGATCGCTAGCTGAGGTCATCAGGCACCCAGAAAAGCAACCCATTGTCTTCGAAAGGAGGTAGAACAAAACATAAAAGTAAAAAGAGAGACAAAACAGCTAAGGAGAGAGACACGTCCCGGGAAGGGAGTCTTGCACTGGCGGGTCTGGGGGAAGTTTTTGAATCTTGGAGGGCAACCTGACTGGGAGGGGAGCAATAAATAAAACCCACAGATTACGTGCCTAAAAGCAACTCCCAGCAGAAAAGTACCCCAGACACCTGCATCCGCCACCAGCAAGTGGGGGCGGAACGTAGAGGAGCGGGCGGCATTGCTTAGGGTAAGGACCGGGCCTGAGTGCCGTGAGGACACTTGGAGGGAGCTTTTGTGAGTTACCAACTTAAACTGTGGGACAGCAAAAGAGAGAGAGAAAATTAACCGGCCCGAACACATTGCCGGCCTTTCACAGAACAAAGGGTCTGAGCAAGTCCAGAGAAGAGCTCGCAGGCTGCGGACCGGCCCAGCCCCGCTGGAGACTGGAGGCAGGGGGGAGGGGAAAGGGGCAGGCTCGGCCCCAAGGACTGCAGCCCCTACCGCACTGCAAACAGGCCTCAAGTCTCTAATCAAAGATCTCCTGAGATTCTGGATGGTCAACATCCACCGGGAGGGTCGTGACGAAACACAGGGTGCAGGCACCCGACCAGCGCAGGCGGGGACTGGGGCTGGGGACGCGGAGGGCAGAAGGCGCGCCGCACCTGGGGAGAGTGCGCCCGTCAAGCCCCTGGCTGCCTGAGCCGCTCTGACGGGGAGAGCACAGAAAGCGGGCACAGCTTTTTGTTCAGGGCTTTTGTGGAACACCCGAGGGCTGGAACCGCGCGCAGCGCAGGGCACGCTCCATATAGAACAGCCGGGAGCCTGAGCAGCGTAAAGGGGAAAGCAGCACCTGCCCCTCCCCGCAGCGCGACGGAACTAGCAACCTGAATAAGAGTCCGCCTCTGCCCCCCTGTGTCAGGGAGGAAATTAGGCACTGAAGAGATCAGCAAACAGAAGCCAAACAAAGGGAACTGCTTCAGAAGGGACCGGTGCAACAGATTAAAATCCCTGTAGGTGACACCGACTACACCAGAAGAGGCCTGTAGATATCAAGAAGTGTAAGCTGGAACAAGGAGCTATCTGAAACTGAACCGAACCCACACTGACCGCAACAGCTCCAGAGAAATTCCTAGATATATTTTTACCTTTTTTTTTTTTTAAGTAAATTTAAAAAAATTTTTTTTTCTTTTTTCTCTTTTATTTTCTTTTAAAATTCCCTATTACTCCCCCATTACTCCTTAACTTTCATTTTCATAGATTTTTACGATTTTTTTAATTAGGAAAAATTTTTTTCCTTTTTTTTCTCTTTTTTTTCCTTTTTGTCTTCTATTTTCTATTTTTCTTTTTCTCTTATTTCCTTTTAAAGTCCTCTATTACTCCTCTACTACTCCTTAATCTTCATTTTCATTACACTATAAACTTACCAAAAAAAAAAAAAAGAGAGAGAGAGAGAAGCCCTATTTTTAAACCTAACTTCATATATATTTCCAAAATTTTTTGTGTGTGTTTTGATTTTTGTTTTTAATATAGTATTTTTAAGAGTCTAACCTCTACTCTAGATTTTTAATCTTTGTTTTTCAGTATATGATATAAATTGTGGACATTTAAGAATCCAAGATTCAGTTCCCATTTTTATTCAGGAGTGTATTGATTATTCTCTCCCAATCTTGACTCTCCATTTTCTACCTCAGAACACCTCTATTTCCTCCTTTCCCCTTCTCTTCCCAATCCAATTCCATGAATCTTTGTGGGTGTCTGGGCTACGGAGACCACTCTGGGAACAGACAACTGCGTAGATCTGTCTCTCTCCTCTTGAGCCCCCCTTTTTCTCCTCCTTCTCATCTCTGTCTCCCTCCTCTCTCTCCTCTTCTTCATGTAACTCTGTGAACCTCTCTGGGTGTCCCTAATGGGGGAGAGTCTTTTCGCCATTAACCTAGAAGTTTTATTATCAGTGCTGTATAGTTGGAGCAGTCTTGAGACTACTGGAAGAATAAAACTGAAATCCAGAGGCAGGAGACTTAAGCCCAAAACCTGAGAACACCAGAAAACTCCTGACTACATGGAACTTTTAAGTAATAAGAGACTGTCCAAAAGCCTCCATACCTACACTGAAACCAACCACCACCCAAGAGCCAATAAGTTTTAGAGCAAGACATACCACGCAAATTCTCCAGCAACGCAGGAACATAGCCCTGAACGTCAACATACAGGCTGCCCAAAGTCACACCTAACCCATAGACCCATCTCAAAACTCATTACTCGGCACTCCATTGCACTCCAGAGAGAAGAAATCAAGTTCCACGCACCAGAACACCGACGCAAGCTTCCCTAACCAGGAAACCTTGACAAGCCAATCGTCCAACCCCACCCACTGGGTAAAACCTCCACAATAAAAAGGAACCTCAGACCTCCAGAATACAGAAAGCCCACTCCAGACACAGCAATCTAAACAAGATGAAAAGGCAGAGAAATACCCAACAGGTAAAGGAACATGAAAAATGCCCACCAAGTCAAACAAAAGAGGAGGAGATAGGGAATCTACCTGAAAAAGAACTTAGAATAATGATAATAAAAATGATCCAAAATCTTGAAAACAAAACGGAGTTATAGATAAATAGCCTGGAGACAAAGACTGAAAAGATGCAAGAAATGTTTAGTAAAGACCTAGAAGAAATAAAAAAGAGTCAATTAAAAATGAATAATGCAAT